CCTGGCCAGAAGCCTCCACGACTCCCAAGCAGGGTGCTGGAGCGCCTGGGGGCTGTTGGGGGGGGCGGGGGGGGTTGGATACTCTCCTCCGAAGCACAGGGCGGAGGATGCAGCTGTCACGGGGGGGCTCCTTCCCGCGCAGAGGACGCGTCTGCCTCTCGGACGGGCTGAAAGCAGCCCTGTAGTAGCTCAGCGCAAAAGAAGGGAAGGTCAGCCCTAAAAATGACTGTGCAAAGGAATTCTTATGGCTGAGAGTCAGAATTTGTTTTGGTTTCCTGAGGAGACCGTCCCCAGTTCAGGGCCCTCAAATGCCGTGGGACTGCCAACAATCCTGTGGGCATGATTTTCAAAGAGAAATGCAATGCACGACACATGTCTTTGATATGAAATCCTTAATAAATAGATTTACTGTTCTACCAGTGGCTTCTTTTGTACAATGTTAGGACAATGGATGCATATCATTTTTCTTCCTTTTGTCCAAGCATTTAAGACAAGAATTCTACCTGACTCTGGAGCTTGCATCCCTCAAGTCACGCCGCTAACACTAAAGCTACGTTCTACCATGTTAGCACCAAACATTTTGTCCTTCATAATATCTAAATTACCCATTTAAGCTCCCAGGAACCCTCTCCGTTAGTTAGTCAGCTGCCTTTGAGACAACCGCCCGGCTAAAGGCTTCTCATCTCAATCTGCCCAGGTGGGACTCGGCAGCTCACCCTTAAGTGACCTCCTGGATCCAGTCCCTCCGCCTGGCACAGGGTCCCCCATCGCCTTCTTCCCTCCCTCTTGCCAGGCCGACCGACTTTTTCTGGCCCACAATCCTCTTGTGTCCCTTGGCCAAAGGATGCAAGTTTCTGCTTCCTGATCGTCACCTCGAAGGAGCAGCCTGTCCTTATTTGGTCCAGGGCTAACTCTTGCAGTCTGTGGTACTCATGGGCCATTTCTCCACTAATCACTTACAGCATCTTATAACATTACTCAGCCGTTGCCTGAGTAATGTAGGCCTGCTGTATAAGGTTGGATACCATCTCCAAATACGCTCACTTGTTCTCAGCGACTAGCATTCACAGCTGTACAGTGCTACTGAACAGACCATTATTTCATTAGTTTTATCCTTGCTCTCATATGACCTTACCATATTTAACTCCTCTAGAATTATCTTCTTTACGTCTCCAGCATACTGTCCATCTTTTTTTAATGTTGAGCCTAAGAAATCAAAAATTCCTACCACCTTCCCAGAAACTACTTTCTTTTTTGACATTACTGACTGGTCAGTTGATGGTCTCCACAAAGATTGCAAACCTAAAATTTAAAAAATGAAAAGATGCTAATAACTGTCCCTAGAAAGCAAGAATTAACTAATTGGATGGGACTTTATTTTATTAATCAAATTTATATGCTGCCCATCTCACTGTATAAGTGACTCTAGGTGACTTCAGTAGTAACATCTTGCGTTCCTGAAAACAGTGACTGACAAAGAGCGGGAGAAAAGAAACGTCTAATTAAAGCGGCAAGGATCTTGCTGAACACAGTTATTTCTGATTAAACACTGGCAAAGGATCTTGGCAATGGGGGCAGACAGGTAGATGATACAGTTCTGTTTTAGCTGCCTTGAATAACTTCTGTTTAAATTCAGTTCCTAGCTGATTGCAGAAAACCTCAGCAGAATTAAGGAGCGTTAGGGAAAAAGTAGCTCTTGGTGAACATCCTCACATAATACAAAGTGTACATTCCCTTATATGAACCGAAGATGCTGCTTCCTTACTATCTGCCATTCCACACACTTAACTCCTCCTTTCAAACAGGATTTATGAAAAGCTGAAATGCACAAAAGCGTAACATTAGCCTTACCGTCCTCCGTCTCCACATAAAGTCTCAAACCCAAATTGTATTTGCGGTTCAACAGCCAGTGGTTACTAGCAGCTGTGACATCGAAGACCAGCCATCCATCCATCCCGGCCAGAAGCTCCTGAAGATCTAAGAACATCAGCTCTGATTCCCTGGAGTAGCAGAAAGTATATCTGACCCCCACTGGTTGAAATGAAGGCAATAAATGTGCCAGATATTACTGTAAACTGCCCAGAGAGCTTTGACTTGGTGGTTTAAAGAATGAATGGATTCAATGCCCCCCTGCCCCTGGCCTTTCACGGCACCCTTCCAGGCTGAGATACGGGCTGTCTGGCTTGAGCCTATCAAAAGGTGGGCCAGTGACAAGTCTCTTTCCGCTCTCCTCTTCCCCTACTCCTGACTTCTGTTAATGGAAAGCATGTCAAGAAAGCACATTTGACACAGGAGGAGTCTGGGCGGGATTGGCACAGCTGTAGGACTGGTGTGTGGCACACCAGTTTCCAGGGGCACATATAAATCAGCAGGTGATCCAGGCAACGGCTCTCAAGACCTACAGCCTAAGGCCTTGTGCTCGTCCCTGGTTGAAAATGGAAAGTTGAAAACATCTACCTAAAAAAAATATACGTATGTCTAAAAATAGAGGATTCCTCCAAGTTTTTGTTGCAGTTCTTTGACCTCTGCCACTTTACTTCTACCTTTTTGACATTTATTAAAACACGTCTTTCTCATATCGCTCTTATCTGCAGTTTTCAAATGACTGTCCTCTTGGTATCGAGGGGTACTTTTGCCACAGCTTTCTTACTGAGACAAGACAAGCAAAGTCAGCCGATCGAAAAGTCTCCTTCGTAACGTTCGCTGGCAAGAGAAAGAGTTCTCCCTGGTAGCTATGGGTTCCCACGCAACTGAAATGTTTCATAACAGAATCAGTAGCTGGAGCCACCAGCCAGTATTTTATTTTAAGCTAAGATCTGAAGCAAACGTTCTGGTTGCGTGTACCTGTTGTGATGCTCTTGAACGATCTCGTACACACTGATATGAAGGGTCTTATTAACATGGCAACCGAAACTTTTCATCTTGTAAATTCGGAATTCTGCTGCCATTACGGTCTCCCCAGTGGGGATCTGTGTTAAGTCGAACCTGAATTCTTTCCAGTAAGGCTTCTGCTGGAAGATATCTCTGTCCAGTTCAACTGCAGAGAGTTGACATCAAAGACAAAAAAGCATAGGCGTTTATTTGGGCATCCATTGCTTACATCCTCTGCTGTCAAATAAGTTCTCAAAGTAGAGATTGACAAATTATTTAAAAAGCCAACTCATTAAAGTGGTAATAAAAATTTAACTAATAATAACGGTTCATTAAAAGCAATGCAACAGTTCAAAATGCATTTGGATGGCTAAGAGAAAGTACAGTGAGTTGGACAAATTATGTTTATTCAATAGGTGTGACAAACAGATCAACAAGAAGACTAAAATAGTGATATCTAGCTACTTGTAAAAACCATCTCAGAAGAGTAGTTGATTGCAAACGGAATATGAGATAGCAGGGTGATGTGGTTGCAAAAAAGGCCAACGCAGTTGTAGGCTACTGAATCAAACATTTCTAAAACTAGGATTCTATTACATATTATAATTTGGGTGGAAAACACAACTGCAAGGCAAAGGTAACATCTCTGTAAAGCCGATCTTACAGAGTAAGAAAAAAACGGCATCTCTGTTAAACGAACCCCTACAGTGAAAGAACCCCTAAGCTCAAGTACTGACTGAATGGATGGATTTTCCTAGGTGCAGGTGACAGGAGCAACATCAGCAAAAGCGAGGTCCCGTTCCAAGAAGCTTACAGTTGGAATTTCAGGAAAGGGAAAAGGCGCATGTAAGATCTCATAGAGGGAGCTACGGATGCCTGTTGAGGCCCAACGCAAGGGTGAAGCGGGTCACTGGCAAATGCAGAGCCGCCCGGAGTCACCCGTTGGGGGGAGATGGGTGGCATACAAGTTTAATGATAAATAATAAGTAAATAAAATAAATAACAAGAAAAAGCGGTGGTGGGGGGAGGGGAGGAGGCTCTAATATGAGGCCTGGACAAAATTCACAATAAGCTCCTTAGTCTGAGGGTGTAAATCCACAACCACAGCAACAACAAGAAAAAGGAAGGTGTGTCTCCACAGCATCCATAGATTTCTCTGGAGGTGAATATGTGTGGCTCAGGGTTGAACTGTGGAGTCCTTGGGGTTCTCTGAGCGTGGTTCTTTTCTTGCAAACCTTTCATTACCCGGCTAGGTCGCATCTTCAGCCCTGGCCGGGTAATGAAGCGTTTGCAAGAAAAGAACCACGCTCAGAGAACCCCAAGGACTCCATAGACTTCTCTTCCTGTTATAAACTACTGACAGCCAGGCCAAAAACAGCTCTAAAGCTAAATCCGCGGCTACCTACGGTCCTCGAGCGCAAGGCCTGGGAAAGGGCTCAGCGCGGACCCTGTTTCAGGTCCAGTCCTGTGCCTGAGGAGTCCCAGCACAAGGACAAAACCAGCTGCGCAGGGCTGCTGGTGGCCAGCAGCAAATATAACCACTTACAAGAAAAAGCAAGTAAATGAATTTACACGTTCCAGCTGAACCGAACCCCGCAGGAAGATCCCCCATCCCAGTTTCAACGGTATTCTTATTCCAGCACGTCAAGGCCTTTCTGGGGAAAGGAATGGCCACGGGATGGCAAGGGCCACCTCCCAGGCTCCTCAAGGAAGGCCCCCGGTGTTCCCACTGGCCCTTCAGGGGAGATCTGATCCCAGTTCGGGGCTTCCGTCCAGGAGGTGGTGCCCCCAGGCAAACTGTGCTCTGGCCGGCGACTGGAAGGAAAGGCGAAAGGAGCACGAGAGGCTTCAGGAACTGGGAGCCGCGGTCCCAGAGGCCTGGTGGTCTGAGCTGAGCTGAGCTGAGCTGAGCTGCCGCAGATGTCCAGCCTCTCGGACCCAGCCAGTCGGGCCGCGGAGCCAAGGCCCGGCTGTGGCTTGGGAGGGAAGCTGCTTTCGCCTCTCCAACTCCCTCTTTTCCTCTTTTTCATTCCTGCGAAGAGGGCCAACTCCCCCATGCATCGTGTCATGCCAGCTGCCAGGAGGAGCTGACGGGGGGCTGAGGTTTGCGAAGGAATGCTTCCTTCCCCAGCTGAGCGAAGCAGAGCAGGAACAATTTCAGTGGGGTTGAACTGTTTGTGGTTCCTTCCATTTTCCATATTTGAAAAAAAAATCTCTGCTTAGGAGAGTTCACTTGCAGACATACAGACCCTAAGCCTCGTGGTCTTTTTTTCAGCCATACTTAGCAAAAGCTTTAACTATTAACAAAGGGTCTCGGTGCACCTTAGACTTAGTCCTCTCTAAATCTTTGGCAGACCAGGGTTGTCTTTCTGAGACGCAGGCCCTCTCTGAGCTGCTGATGGACATACGTTTTGGAGGAAGGCAAGGAATGAGAGCGATTAAGACTCTGGGAAAGCAATGGATAGTAACAAATCCCTAAAGCTAAACTATTCACCTTGCACTGTGTCATGATAATACAAATAACCCAGGACAGGTAGGCTACTTAGCCCATATAGTGGATGAAAAACCCACCCAGTAACAGACTTAAATAGTCAAGAGATACATAATAAATACATCTATTTCATATTTTGTAATATTATGCAAAATTCATTTAGCAATTTCTCAAGCTTTCCTCTCCTAGAAGAGATTCTCCTGTTTTTCTACCACATGTTCAGGATGCTTGTCAATTTCTTCTGAATTTCTCTTTGGAGCCAACGTTACTATTGCAGGGGGTGTGGGAGGCTTCTGTGGTTGATGGTGCTTTCTGACATCTTTTCTCCTCCTACTGCAGCCTCCCTGGCCGCCCACTCTGAAAAGGTCTTCCCTTAGAAGTGAGAGAAGCCAGGGAGGCTGCAGACCACTGAGCGATTGTACAATGAACGACAGGGAACACACACATACCCCACCCCACCCATGAACATTTATCCCAATTCTCTTTTCCTCCTCTGGACAAAATTTCAAAACCAAATTCCTTTCACCAAACTGAATTAAGAACTGATAGAAAAAACAGGGGAGAGTTTTCTGCACCACAAGTACTGTTTTGTCTAGAAGTTGGTTGGTTTGCTTCTCAAACAAAGCAGAACGGCTCATGTTCTACTGGAAGGCAGCTTGTGATCTGTTCTGCAGTGCTTAAACACACTAAGTCAGAGACTCTCCATGCCTGTGAATGCAAAGCTGGTGCCTGAACAAATGTGTTTGTTTCTAAGATAGCACAAGTCAGAACTTGCTTCCTCCACAGCCCCAACCCATGTTCCCACTATTTTACTCCACCCATAGTTTCAGGGCAAGAACTTCAAAGATGCTCCTGCTGCATTGCTCCAAACTACCTGCCTCTGCGCAGAGTTACTGCAGGACAGAACCAATGAGGGACCTGTGGAGAGAAAGCATCATTCACACTGGGATTGGTCAAAGAAGCTCATCTGCAGCAGAGAGCAATGGAGAAAAATCCCAAACCAAGCCCACATGCTCCTTTCCTTCCACGCCCTGCTTGTGGGATTACAGGACTTCAATGGGATTGCTTTGAGGCATTTGCTAATGAAAGGGGACAGGATGCATTTTTCTAAGAAATGGCTCACCCTGGTTGACCGCAGGGAGATCACAACTTGTCTCTGTACACATTTCTCCAGGACAAGATGGAAAGACCATCCCCAACTGGAAAGGCCCTCCAGACTGGTCCTTAAAGTGGGCAGCCACTTGCTTGGGTTACTCCTCCTGCTGGACGTAATCATGCTGATTTAGGAAACATTTGCGTATTATGGTTGCTGGATCTTCCTGTGAGGGCTCTGCATTAAGACACAAGCCCATCGCTCTCTCTTATTCCCTTGAACAGGCTGAAGCCAAGGGAGAGGAGAGAACCAAACCAACCTAAGATTGGACAAGTGTTTGTCCGAGATGGTATGAGGGCTCCTGCCTTGGGCAGGGGGTTGGACTAGAAGACCTCCAAGGTCCCTTCCAACCCAAGGATTCTACGAGCCCCCAAAGCCCCCTTCACCATTCTTTTCTCCAGACTGCAACAAGGAAAAGTAAGGCTGCCGCGTTTAAAAGTAAAGTTCCCTTGATGCCATTTTGGAGTATGGTTAATTTGTAATTGTATAGAGTTTGGCTCTCCTCTCCCTTGCTGGAAGCAACTGGAGAAGCTGCTTTCAAAAACTGGTAGTGAGGAAAGGTATGACAGGTATGAAAGGAAGCCAGGAAGCAAAGCACTTGTGGAAGAGGCAGAAGAGAGCTGGGAACCAGAGGGACGGGGGGTCCAGTCCTCCACAAACACCCCCAACAGGTCACTTGACCTCCCCTCCAAGATAATGCCTGTCAGACCATCATAGATTTCATAGACACTGTTTGCTTAAGAGGGAAAAGACTATTTCATTCCAGTTCACTTAGCAACAATTTAAGACTGCCTCATTCAATGAGCAAGGGATGAGACAAGGACAATGCTTGTGCAGCCGAGGAGGGCAACCATCGTTGTCAGGACATGATGGGGCTGCAACTGGGGCAGGGCTTGTGTTGCCTCCTGAGAAGACAGCTGCCTCACAATGCTGGACTCATTCCTTCCCGAAAGGAAAGATCTGTTGGGCCTGAATAGCTTCACCTTCTGTTGGTGGTCATCATTTTCTTTGGACCTTGAAGAACTGACCCCCCAACTGCTCTTGCTGCCTCACCTTTGAGTCTGCAGAGCCGAGGAAAGGCCCAGCCTCTTCATTCAGGGGAGGGGAGCTGCTCTGGGACACCAAAATTGTCTGGAAGAGGGGATGAAAGTGCACCGCCTTGATAAATCCTGAGGAACCCCTTGTAGGCCGTCTGCTTGGGTCTTCAGGGAGCTGCAGCTGGAGGAGGACCACTTGGTCCTCAACTTTTCCCTGACCAACAGACCCGCTGCACCCAAAATAGATGCTGCCCAGTGGGAAGGGTGGAAGTGGGAACCTCCTCTTTGCATTTAAGAGCCCCCCCACAGCACACGCTTGGTTCAGCATGGGACAGGGTGCCCTCAGGAACCAGGAGCGTCCAAGAAAGGAATCTTTCATAGTTTATGTTTAAGAGATATGATCCTTTTTGGCACCATGACTTACACCCTCTGCCCCAGGCGGCATTTTCTATGATGTACTGAAAAAATAAACATTTGTTAAATGCCTTCATGATGCACAAAGTATTTCTGAATGCTTAAAAAGATAAATCTAATTAGAACTTTTAAGGAAAGCGAAGACTGGCTCAAGGGTCTCTTCTTGGATGAGGATGAAAG